ACTTCTCAAAATGCATTAGACACATTATAGCTGAGCCATTTCCCTTCCCTATTAGCAATTCAGCCTGCTTATACAGAATGATTGTATCACAGAGTTAGTAGCAAGTAAGCTGGAGAGCAAATGAGATTTCAAAGACTACTGATATACTGATAGGGGACTCAAGATTTAAAACAGATATGGAGATACCTGGACTAGCACCTACCCTCAAAGAAGTCTGAGCTGTGTTAGTTAAGACAGAGAACTATTTTTTTGTTGAGACTGGGTCTTGCCATGTCACCCAGTCTGGAGTGCAGTGGCTATTCACAGGTGCCATCGTGCACTACAGCCTTTAACTCCTGGGCTCACGTCATCCTCCAGTGTCAGCCTACTGAGTAGCTAGGCATGTACTCAACTAGAAGCCTGACTCATTCATATAAAATCTTTTTCATTTTAAAATAATGAATTCTGTTTTTGAGACTCTTCCCTAGTAAACTATTGCAGTACAGTTTTTAAAAGATGATTTTTTTCCCCCTCTTCTAAGACAGAATTTGTTCTATATATTCTCAACGTATCTTCTGGCACTGAACTAATTAACTCCCTCCCCTATCACCTATACTAAATATGAGGGTAGTTATGTTATTTTAACTAATTGATATAATGATTCTGTAATTCATTAAAGAAATGAATTTTGGCCTGGTGTGATGGCTCACGCCTGTAATCCCAGCACTTATGGGAGGCCAAGGAAGGCAGATCACTTGAGGTCAGGGGTTTGAGACCAGTCTGGCCAACATGGCAAAACCCCATCTATACAAAAATACAAAAACTAGCTGGGCATGGTAGCATACGCCTGTAATCCCAGCTACGCAGCGAGCTGAGACAAGGGAATCGCTTGAACCCAGGAGGCAGAGGTTGTGGTGAGCTGAGATTGTGCCCCTACCCTCCAGCCTGGTCGTCAGAGCGAGACTCCATCTCAAGAAAAAGTATTTTAATGGCTTTGATCTTCTTATGTTAACAGGAGACAAATGCCAATAAAAGGAAGTTAACACATACTGGTATCAAGTACTGGACAAGACTTTTTACACACAGTAAAATTCATGCACTGATATAACCACTTTATGAAGTAAGTATTCTCTTCACAAAAGAGGAAGAGAGACTAAAAGACGTTCACTGACATGTCTAGGATCACATAGCTAGTATGTGTTATAATAAGAAATTTGGTGTTTGTCTCAGGTTCTTAACACAGAGCTCCTAAAACCCTAGGAACTTCCCAAGTGATGGGAATGTCTTACTTGTAAGGAGCCCTTTTTGATCACCCTATGGCTATCTGGATAGAATTTGTGCTGGATAGTTTATGTTAATGAGGTTACTTAGGCGGAGCCCCTAGATAGCCTCAGGATGTGGCTTACTACATCCCGATTATCATGGCTTACTACAAAGACCAAGTGACTGATTAGCCGGTTGGAACTTTCAGACCCACCTATTGACCTCGGGGAAGGAAAGAGGGAGGGGGGTCTGAAAATCAAACTCTGTAACTCTTGGGATCTGATGAGCTTCCAGGTTCCCGAATCTAGTGTTGGGGGAGTGGCATACCCAGAGGAAGCCTAGAAGGTCTGCAGGCACCCCCTTGCCTCCCACCCTGCCATACCTTGCCTTATGCAGCTCTTCCATCTGGCCGTCCCTGAATTGTATCCTTTATGATAAACTGGTAAACATAAGTGAAGTGTTTCCTTTAATTCTGTGAGGCGTTCTAGCAAATTATTAAACCCAAAAAGGGAGTCATGGAACCCCTGATTTATAGCTGATTGGTCAAAAGTACTAGATGCCCAGACTTGCAATTGGCATCTGAAGTAAGTGGAAGCAGTCTTGTGCAACTGAGTCCTTTACTTGTGGGTCTGATGTCAACTCCAAGTAGACGAGTGTCAGAACTGAACTGTAGGACACCCAACTGGTGTCAGAAAATTGGTTGGCGTGAAGAAGTAAAACCACACATTTTGGTGACCTAGTGTTCTGTGCTGTTTTGGGTGTGTTTTGTTTTTCCTCTCTTGTACACAGTAAGTTAAAGAGAGGATTTTGCAGTGGTCTTGTTGGCGTGTGCCTGGTAGTCCCAGCTATCCGGGAGGCTGAGGTGGGAAAACTGCTTGAGCCCAGGGGTTCAGAGCAGCCTGAGCAGCCCCATCTCTGGATAGAGAGAGAGAAGAAAAAAAGGATTTTGACCTAGGTCTGAATTCAAAGTTCATGCTCTTTCTCTATGTGCTGCTTCCTACTAAAATCTATAAATAACCCTAAAATAGTCAATTATATTAGCCTTTTCTTAAACTATCTTTGGCCAGAACTACTGAAAAGGAGGAAACGACTCTTATGACCCTTTTCTGTTCTTGTTCAGATATGTATGTTTAAAATGTGTACAACAGGATAATGGAAAAAATAAAGGAATTTCATAATCTGCCATTGACTACATGACAACACTGCTTGTGGACATTTTATTCACTTTAAAATAAATATTGTGCTGTAAACTGTTCAGAAGTGAAATCTATATTACAGTAGGCAAGTACAAGGGATAGACAGCACAGTGTTTTGTTAGAGCAAACCATTCTGAGTCTCAGAGAAGCATCACCAAGTGTCTACATCAGATAGATACTCTGAGAGTAAACATACTCATAAGAAGAAAAAATAGATAAAAGTTCTGAGAGAGAAGCAACCTATTATAAATAAGAGTTTCTTAAGATTAACAAGGGTGAGGACAACTCCCATGTGACCCTCTACCATGTGCCCACTTTCTACTTTAACACCTTGCAGAGAGCAGTTGCTATATAAAAATCTGTTGAAAGGATTTCAGGCACTAGAATCTACATATTTTACATGGTCTCTCATTTAAACCTATCAATTTCTTTCTTCATGAATTTTACTTCATTAGCTAGTTATATACATTATAATTTACATAATAAATCTATTATTTAAAAACTTTCAATAGGTACAACAATTATGACATTTGATTAGGCTGGACTCTAACTTGCTTGGATGAGATTTATTTTGGAATCACAGTATCCAAGCAAAGAAAAACAATCAGTTTATAAGACACAATAAAAATGAAAAAGAGCGAGACAAATGTCTGCCTTAGAAGTTTATCAATAACCTCTTATATACACATATATATTCACAAAGTGTTTGAGAGTCATTTTATACGATCTTTTAGAAGAGGTCCAATGGCTGAGAACTCTATAATGAGACACGGTCGGACAGAAATTATCATGGCTTTCAATGATCTTTTCTTTCCCCTAACTTGAATATCCTTTAGTTGGGGAGAGAAAGAAGTCCATTTTCATCTGCTGTATCTAAGATTTTACAGATCACTGGAGATTCAACCTAAAGAAGAAGAACAAAGCCATTAAAAAGTTGCTAAGCTGAATACTTTTCAGTACTATTCTGCTGAATGGATACATGTAGTTATAGTTGCTAGAAGCATGAGTCCTTGTTTTAGATAAACATCCAACATTATTTCTACAAATTAAGCTTCTTGAAAAACAACTTTTAGTCATCCATACAGAGTATCAGACAGGGGGAGAACATATTTTTAAACGAGCAGGGGAGGGAAAAGGAACAAAGGACAGGAATA